TTTGCTGAAAAATATAGTATTTTTGTAAGGTTTCTCTATAGTAAGCTAGCTTTTTTAGTTCAGCTCTGTCCACAATAAAGAAGAGATGTTATACTTCGTCTCTTAAATCTTTATATGAAGCTGATAGATTTTCATGATTGTCTGCGATATATATGTCTGGTAACTTGTCAAAGGAGAATATTAAGTGCAGTGTTCTAACTGCTGGTGTCAGAACCTGACAGCTTGTAATAGGTAGGTCAAAGGGAATAGCTTGAAACAGATGGTCTGGAATAAGCTCTGGTGTATTAGGCAGAGGAATTAGTAGTTCATTTATTAGTTCTGAGATTGCTTTTCTTGTTGTTTCAAAGTCTAGATTTTGTTAAATTTTTGCAAAACCAATTAAGTAGAAAATATATTTTGTGATTTCCCAAGCATCTAAAAGATTGAAGTTTAGGTTGGTTAAGTAGTCTAGTGCCAGCTTAGTACATAATAATTCGAAAATTTGGTTCCAATTTTTTTTGTTAGTAGCTAATACATCATGCTGTTTTTTGTATGCATATAGGGCATTAGTAAATAAGTTGTTGAATTCATTCTGATGTTGTAGTTTAATTGCTAAAATTCTAGTGAAGCTTCTAAAGAAGGCTGTGTCTTTATGAAAGAAATTTGCTTTTATTGCTGTTGGAATATGAATAGTGGTTGGTTTTGTTGACAACTTATATTTGATCAGTTCTTTTAAGTTTTGAAGTGAGGTTAGTGTGTTTTGGTTTTTTGTCATGTCCAAATTGTTGCATCAAATAATTCTAATTTTTCTTGTTTGATTTTTTCTAAAGCTGCTTGTGTATGTTTTTTCTATTCTTTTTCTTTGTCTGCTTTGAAATGAGGATTTGGAGTTCTTCTAGTTCTCTCTGAAAAATTATTAACTAGTGCTTGGCTGTATGAAATTTTATTTTGTGGCTGTTTTTCAAGTATTGTATCAGTTGTCGAGTTTCTTCATTATCATCATTCTCTATATTTGTTGATGTGTGCTCTATTTCCATATTGAGTTGTTGTTCTGGGGTGCTGGCATCCAAGTTGGGCTGGGGCATTGCATTAGATAAGGCTAAGTTGTTTGTTGTTTCCATCTGCATTGGTGAAAGGGAAGCAGTATCTATATTGTCTGGGTTCTGGATCAGGTCTTGCTCAGTTTGGTTGTTCGTAGGAAGATTTGAGATTGTGGTTGTTGTTGTTGTGTATGATGATGTCATTGTCAGATTTTTTGGGGGTATGCTAGAATTTCCATTTTTTTTGATAATTTTTTTTTCATTGGTATTTTTTTTATTATTTGCTTATATAGGAATAGCAATTTTGCTATTGGTTTTATGCTTCTTCTTATTGTTTTGATTATCCATAGTTTCTTGAATGAATCATATTTGTGTATATTGTTTAAAATATTTGTCTTAGGACTTATTTTTATCTTTACTAGTGTTGGTTCTAGTTGCTGACTTAGTTAGCAACAATGGTAAAAAGGAGACTGGAGTGCAAAAAGCTTTCTTATGACTTTGTTTAATTCTGTAAAGTTGTGTTATACCGTTTGTTAATGCTAATACTTAGTTAGTTAAAATATGTTTTAGTTCCACTTTTTTTAAAAAATTTTTTGTTTTTCCCAATTTTGCTATGAAATCAGGATTTTTGAAAGAGTTTTTTTCCTAGCTTTAGTTATTCTGATTATCTAATATTAAAAAGAAATACTATTTAAATACTTTAAATAAATAAATAAAATTCTTCAGGTTAAAAAAAAAGGCTAATTAAAAATTATATCTTTCATGAGGCTTAGATTATTATATTTAGAATTTAAAGAGGTACATTATTAAAAGTAATTGTAATACTTACTATATCTATAAAATCTCTATACGCTGTATTTGGAAATTCTGCATTATCAATATCACTAAGTTCACTGTCATTACTACAAATTTCTTCACTAATCTTATCATTTTCTAATATGTTATTCTCAAACATTTGATTAGACTCACTATTTCCTTCAATAATATGACCAAACTTACTATTTTTCTCAAATATCTGATCATAATTGTGAGCTATTTGCTGGTTATTGATTACTATTGACTCAAATTCAGGAGCTTTGCTAGTAATATCTTGGATATAAAATGTTTTACAAGCTTCATTTTCAATATCTTGAATATTGAATATCAGGTTCGAGTTGTTATTTTGTTCATATGTAATCTCTGATTCATCAGAACTACAATTATCCATGCTCTCATTTGAACTAGTGGCAGTATCATATTCAACATGATAATAGGTTTTGTGAACTTTTCTGTGATTTTTGAGACTTGTTAAGCATCTGAAATTTCTTTTACATACACTACAGACAAACATAAAAAAAAAAATTTATAAAAAGAAAATTAAAAAATTAAAAAAAATAAAAATAAATAAATAAAAAAATTAAAATTAAAAGAATGATTGGTAACCTTCTTTTTTACTTTTTTTTAATTTTTGGTTTTATTACAAGCACCCGCTAAAATTTGTTAATCAAAAATTTTTTTTTCACTTTTATAGTAAATTTTAACTTTTCAATCACATTATCGATCATATGCATCTGTCATTTAATTTAACATTTAATACAGTAATACAATCATGATTTCCTTTTTTGAAACAACAATTGTAATAGAAAATTCTAGGTTAGTACATAATAAGGAATAGATTACATAATTCGAGATAATGATTGGTTAAAAATGTTTTAGCAATTGATTGATTGAATTAGGGTTAATAATTTAGGTTACACAAACTTGATTTTATATATATATTTTTTTCAAGAAACAAAAAATTATTAACCTTTTTTTATTATTTACCTTTTTACGATCGATATTAAAAGTTCGATATCCAAAATTTATGAAATTTATGTTCTTCCAACTTTACGCCTATTTCTTTTATATATTTGGAGAATAAAGGTATTTTAAATATACGTATTTATTCTACTATATACAATTGCACTTCTGTATAACCACCTCATATATATAAGAACATCATGCTTATAAGCATATTTATTTTTTGAAATAATTACTATTAAATATATAAAACTAATTCTTTATATTCTCTATTTAAGCTCATTCAAAGTATAAGAATGCATTTTATAGATCCTGATAATGTGATTGTACAGGAGTGCGATTGTATACAACATAAGAAAACAAATTTTGCAGAGCATCAATTCTTTAAAGCGATACATTTTAGCTTCAGTCATCTCTAACACCATTTTAATTAATATGTACCAATCCAATCGGCCAACAAAAGTTGTCTCCATATAAGTTTGCTAAAATAATAATAATTATTAAAAGCAATCTTTAATGGTAATACAATTAAAAAAAATATATCTTACATTTTTAATTTAATTCCAAATATGTTACTAATTCATGCTTGTTGCATTATCTTTATGTATTGTGTAATCTGTATTTTACACCTATTATTATCGGACCCTTTATAAAATTTCTAAAATTCATGCTAGCAAGAATCAATAATTTTTATATCTTAAAATCCTTTTTTTTTTTTATTAATTTAATGCCTCCTAAAACCCGAAAACATAGATCTGGCCTAAGACAAGATGAAGTTGCTTCAGTAATTATTTAGATTGACTTTATTAAATATATTTAGATGCTGACTTTTTATTGTTTTTGTTAGGCATTGGACACTTTGAGATCTGGTCCTTCTACCGCAAAAAAACAAAAAACTACAAATGAATCTATTACCCAACCTTTGAAGCACATGAACAATAATGTTGAAAATGCTGATGTTGATGGCATTGATAATGATATTTAAGATTCTCTTCATGTAATCACTGAAAGCCCACCTTGCTCTCAATTTAGTGAAATGTTAACAAATATTTTAGGAAATTTACATACCAACATAGAACACGGTCAGTTTTAAAAATACAAATAAATTCATTATATTTTAAATTAAAATATTAACTATTGAATCAAATTAGTACAAAGTGAAAAAAGCAAAACAATAAATTCAATATTGGAAATATCCAAACAATTATTAACTCAAAACACATCAATTATAGAAAAACAAGAAGCCTTAGAGGTCATGGTTACTCAACTAATCAATGATATTAAGACATTACAATCTTCGTATCAAAAGTTAAAAATTAAGGAAAATGATTGCGAATAGTGGCAGGTATATTATTGTGTTTTTATTATAATACTATGTATAAGATCAATTTTCCATTCTTGCTATCTATTAGCAAATAAAAAATTAAGCTCAGTATGAAATTTGAAGTACTTTGATTTAATAGTTATTTTAAAATGTCAGTAAACTAATTTAAGCCTGAACTCTTTTATTATTATTATTATTATCATTATATGAGTGGAAAATCTATTCTATACTATCAGCTTTATTATATTATCAAACAATTATACTATTTTACTTAAAATTTAGAAAGGGGTAATGCAAGGTATTAAGGCGGCTGTAGACAATTAGCTTTATCCTAATGATAAGGTTTATGAAGAAGCCATTCGAAAGGAACTTGAAATCCTCTGCCCAGACAAAATGGAATAATACAGAAAAGGCATTAAATGGGAGGCTCTATTTAATAAAATTGAAAATATAGTAAGTATAATTGCAACAAGCTATTTAGAACTAATATTACTCAACTTCCTGATGGTTATTTTTCTGACAGGCCATCTAACCTACATCACATAGTGTAATAATTTAATGTTTTATTAGTTGCAGTTATATTTTATTAGTGAGTTTTCATGCTTTATGATGTTGGTTAAATGTCTTGTCAGGGAAATGACCACCAGAAAATTTATATATAACTATTTAGAACAACTCAAACTATGTGATAATTAGCATATTGTTTTAGCAGTATTAAAACTGATATGATATTAGCTTGAACTGTTATTATTTTATAATCTAAAACTTTAAATATACGTAGATCAGTACCAAATCTTGCAGATATCATGGGGCCTTATTTGGATCTTTTCAACATGTCATGTTTGAACATGTTTTTAAGAACAAGGTTTCACCAATCATCAATTCTGAGAGCTCTGAAGCTAATATATTGTCTTGGAAATCAAGTGATGATGTATGTTGGTGCTTGGAAAACTTGGATATAATAATGAAAGAAAAAGAAAAAACCTACCTTCAAATGGTTGCTAAAAAGGTGTTTAGTAAACAAATTACCAATAACCAATATGCTGTTATACAGGCTGTTTTGCATAACCTTTTTAATTCTGAAATCATTAAAATCAAGTTTGATGAGAAATACTTAACACGAAAGTTACAATGTTTTCTGGTAGTTTTTTTTTTTTTTTTTTTTGTTTTGTTTTTATAGATATTTATTTATTAATTGCTTTATAATTTATAACAAAGTATAACAATACTGAAAGAAATCAAGATGATGACTCAAATGTGTCTGATAGTGAATAATGCTAAAGCATACCTATTACTACCTACCACTGCTGCCATAATGAGTTGTATGAACAGTGCACAAAATGGGATATTGATATTAATTAAAATGGTATCCCAAGATATATATATATTAGATATTTGAAGTTTATGCAAAAAATTTGTATAAATTATAAGGTTATATAAAATTTATTTGAAATTTTATTTAATCGAATGTATAAATTTGATTTAAATTTGATTTTATTAAATTTTAAGTAAATCATTATTAAATTTTATATAAATTTTAATAAAGTTATATACAAATTTTAATTTAAATAAATTTTATATAAAGTTTTAATGAAATAATATATAAACATTATTCAAATTTGGTATAAAATCTAATACAAATTAAAATTATATAAAATTTATATAAATATTATGTAAATAGTTTATAATTTTTATAAAATTTTATAAATAAATATTATCTAAATATTAATTTTACTAAATTTATATAAATTTTATATAAATTTTATTTAAATCTTTATTTAATTATATGTATATCTAAAATTTATATAATAATTATTATATGTAAGTCTACATTGGGTTTGTAAATCTATGTATAATTTTTAAATATAGTTTAAATAAAATTTTTATATAACATTAAATAAAATTAACTTCCTGATGTAATAGATGAAGGGAGTGCCAAATGAGAAAGTGAATATTTAAAAAGAGTAAAGTTAACAAAGTTATATGCTTTACTTATATCTTGTGAAAGTAGCCAAATATCCTTGTGATTGCAAATAGCATCTTCAATAAGATTATTAAGGATGTAAATTGGAATTGAAGTGCTATTATTAGAAAGTGCAACATAAACAATATTAAAAAAACTCTTTCTGTAGATCACTTTACCAAAATTAGACAAAAGAAGAAAAATTTTATATCGAATATAAAGCAATAACTACTAAGTAAATTGACCTTGGACCATTAATTAAACTTGTTCTATAAAATAAACTTGACCTTAAAGAGATGCAAACCTCAGGAAAAAATATTTATTAGCAGCTCTGAATTACAATAATATTAAAAACAGCACTGCAACAAACAACTTACAATTCAGCAAAAGTGGTCCTAAGGATCTTTACATCTTTACTAACTCAGCATATAGGCATAAAATGGCAGCTTTAAAAAATAACAAAAAAAACTACAGATAACCTACAAATCAATCCACCACAAACTCTAAACCAAACAACCTCTCAAGGCACTTTCTTTTCTTCTCCATTAGCCTATTTTACTGGAAAATCTACTAGTTTAAGTAACTCTACTCCTACAACTCTAACTGCTAATCCTCCTATTGAATATGCAAAAGAATTCATCAATATTACTATAAAAGACCTATCTAAACTTACCTTTACAGTTACTTTTCTTATTCCTAGCTTCATTGACAAATATCTCTTTACTGTAGATCTTACCAAATCTGGTCATATATCTAACCTTACTATATTCTCAATTTAATGATTATATAAACACAAAGAACCATTCCAATCAATACTTTTTGATCTTACAATAACAAGAAACAACTTTGTAAATATTAGTGCCAAACATCCCAGAAGTATATGCAGTTGTAACCTTAACTTAACAATTCAGCTATATGAAAAGGAATACAAGACACCCAAATTTAATAAAGATCTCCTACTTATACCATACAACATGATTACAGAACTTGATACATAAGATGAACTATCACAAACAAGCAACATTTCACAAGATGATAAGCTTACATTCGATCTTACTGCTGGTCTTATAGCAAATATTACACAAACACAGTCATTAGTTACCACATTACATAATACCACTCAGGCAATACAAGATACCAATACTAAAAGAAACAAATGCCTTTCCATTTCACAACATAATCCTGCTGAAATTATCAGACTTACAACCAAATCTTTCAAAACCCAATTAAAAACCAACCAACATCATAATTAAATTGATCTAAGCTTCAACCACTTAATATACAAACAATACCTGAACCAAAACAATTCAATGCTGCAGCTACAGCATCACTAATCTCAAAATTACAATATTTGACAACCTCGAAAACACCAAATCTACATATAGCCAAATTACTCAAAAACAACTTAACATACCTAGGTTTAATGATATTGATGACTCAGAATGAGCAGAGACCATATAGGCTAGAATTACTAAACAAATTAACACCCTATTTGATCAACAAACTTAGTCATATGAGAAAATTGCTAAAGTACTTCAAACACCAGCTGGCATTCAGAACTTCATTGATCATAAAATTGTTACCATACCAACTAAATTTGTAATCCCACTTATAATTTTTCTTAAATTTAGATACCTTGACACTAGGTTCTTCATTACCTTTACCAAAAATCCAAATACTACTTCTGCATATCAAAAAGAATATACTAACTTATACAATAATGCCCTAGCTACATATAAACAAATTAATCAAGTTACAATTACAGACACAACTACATGCAAAACTATCAATACTATGCTTAAGCAAATGCTTATTGCACAATACCTCTCTAACCTCAACCTTACTAACTACACCTCCTTTATGATCTACAGAACTATTTATTATGCATGAGGCTTTCTGCAAATTCAAAATGAAAATGAACAAACACCCAAGGAAATTAGAGCTGTAATCACTAATATACTCTAAGAAAAACTTATATCACTATAACAAGACCACAGTAAAATACCAGAACATATCAAAGCTATCTTATCATTTACACTTCCAATCATACAAAGATCATATACAAGGGCTACTGTCAATGGATTAAGAAAAATCTTAAAGTTTGACAAACTACCAGACAACTATTTTGCAAAATTTTCATATTACCTAAAAGATACCAAGACCTTCTTCCAGAACTACAAACCTATTTTCCAATATCAAACAGACAATCACTAAAATATTTTTATTTTTTCAGTACAAACTTACAGATTACTACACTTTTACTACAATTCCAAACTCCTATTTTCAGCTTCTACCACCCAAAAAACCATTACCTACTACTTATTAGGAACTGAACTACAAAGTCAGAGGTCTCTTTTTTTTCAACTCCTCTACATCTGAAGTACCATTAGCTAAAGCAGTAGTACAATTAAGAGAATATTACATATTCAAACTACTACCTAGTGACTATTTTATTACCAAACCATCTCTGGCAACAAAAATTGAGCTTATTCGCACTGAGTCAGATTTTATATACCCTATAACTAATAACACAATAGCAAAAACTTTCCTTAATGAAATTTTACAATGCTACTATGTCCAGTTTCTACTACCAGAACATATAATGCAAACAAATTCTACAGATAAACCAGTCTTACCAACTGATAGCCAAGAACTTGCCAAGCTTAATATCACACTACCAATTACAACATCACAACAA